TATTTTGCTCGATAGCGTAGATTCCTGAGGGGAAGTAAAATGTGTTACCGAGTTAAGGTTTATCTAGCAATTCATTGGTGAAATCATTGAAGGTACCAGACTTCCAGGGTTCCAATTCTCATTCTTCGCATTTGAACACTAGGGGGGTAGGGAATGTATGAGGATACGTTAACAATGACTGCCACATCGACCGGGAAAGGAAAAATCGGTAACATAATTACGTTGTCGGGACCGGGGACTACGCGGCCAGCCCCATAGAAACAAGTTGTACAAGATAGCCACAAGTAATAGAAATTTCTTTTTCGCATAGTAAATGCTTGAGTACTTTTGAAAATAGAAGGAATTAAATGAAATGAAATCCTTTTGTTTTTATCTTGTTTCTTGTCTGAACGATGAATTAACTTTGTCATTTGAAAGTTAAATAAGTACTTCAAATGGTGTGGCATAATGAATAGGAGACATCCTTTTTAAGAGCACCGTAAACATCCTAAGATGGCCCTCTATTATGATAACCCTCACGTTAAAGGGTTGGTTTTAGAAGAATTTATGCCCGGAATCAAAATGCCCTCGGGGAAAAATACACCCGAGACATACATGAAAGGACGCAAAAAGTAAACTTGCGCAAATTCTTATAAAAACCATCACGTAAAAGGGTTGATGCCCGGAACCAAAGTGCTTCGGAGAAAATGCATCCGAGGGTGCACATAATAAAATGCAAAGAGAAAAAAGTGCATAGAGTTCTTAAGCAAATGCAAAGGTTAATTACTTCCATGGATATTCAAATGAAAGTAATACTCAAACAATACTTGAGCGAAAAATACGTCTTTATTTACAAAAACATGCCATAACGGCAAAGGTACAAGAATTGGAAAAAGAAAAGAAAAGCTAAATTGCAGTATCTCCAGTAGCAGGAGGAAAAGAAGTGTCCGCGTCCCCTGGAGAATTAGATGGATCCACCGATGGTTCGACATTTTCCCAAATTTGGCCTTCAACATCATTGTCTTTCAATTCCTCTTCAGTCCCCGAGAACTCGAAACCGGATCCAGAAGGGACAGGAGCATAGACTGCGTTGGGAGTCCATTTTTAGTAGTTAACTCAAGCTCACGGGCCTTAGCAATTTCGGCATCAAAATCAATGATACCTGCATTGGGGACTGGGGAAGAGGAACACCCTCTTCGTGAGATGAAGTAGCAGTTACTAGTGGAAGAGTGGATGAAGATGGAAATGATGTAGCAGTTGTTGGTGCTGGTGAAGACGGGGATGAAGCTGATGGAGTTGAAGGGTATGAAGCAGCTGCATCGAGTGCAACGCTGATTGTTAGGTGCTCGCCAACCAAAGACGGTAGGGACCTAGTACTCAGCCCAGCAGTACCGGGCACAGCTAATGGGGTCCAATAATGGGATTTAGCATTTTCACCAAATCAAATTCCCCCCAAAGCGCCAAGGCGTCGTCCTCGGTTGGTGTAAGTAACTCAACAGATTGAGCAATCTGTTGAGTTGATGATGAACGTCGCCTTCTGTGTAGAGAAGCCCCATCATCACTAGCTTTTCCATCATTGTCGATCATCATGGTATCTATGACCGGCCCGGGAAGAGGGCTAGTGATCATAATTTTCGGAGACGACTCAGGGGAAATAGTCTTCACCCTCTTATTCTTTTCCCCGGCGTTAGAAGAGTGTCTTTTTTTAGGTTGTTTGTCCTCTAGCAGGGACTCTGTAAAGAAGCATTTGTGCTGGAAGTAGGACCGGAGATACTTGTTCGAGTAAGTGCCTCCTGAAGTAGCCTCGCTGCATCAATAGGATTAGCCAAGATGTCCTCCCCGGGAGATCAATAGAGTGCGCGAATAGACATAATTTAATAAACAAGCCAGAAGGGGTCGACCAAATTCTTCACATGAAAAATGGAAACAAGGTAAGTTTAAATTTCCATGATTTTTGGCCTCCCACCCGTATTTAGGGGCTAGTTCTTTCCACAAACGAGTTTCGGACGTCGTAACGTCCAAGACCTTCTGAACCCAGCGGTCCAAATCTTCAACTACCGGTGGGATCCATCGAATTGCTGAAACATTTGAAGGATGAAGGATCAATACGACCATAGAAGAATATTTAGTAAAAGGAAATATTAAATAAAGATCTTACAAGTGCGGTTTTAAGCGGCCGGAAAGGATGAAGCCGTTGTCGGAACGATATGATTGGTGGCAATTGCAACGAACTGTTCTATCCACCCGCAATCGCTATAATCATCCATGCTAGCCAACAGAGCATGGTGGCCTCGTTTGAAGAGGTTTAGCATTCCACCACGAAAGATCTTTGAAGAGTAGAGATTCATTATATGAGCTAAGGTTAGCTCTTCTCCAGTCTTCTGGCACAAACATCAAAGGCATGCGACCGACCTCCACACAGAAGGATTTACTTGTGCCAATCATAATTGGTAGCAGAGGAAAAACTCCGCAATCACGGAATCAAGCTCTCCACTCAAAGAAAACACACCCTAAAGGGATACGTATAAAAATATGTAAAACGTTCCTTGGGAAGGGTCACTCGCTCCGATAGAACAGGAGCAATAATGTCCAACTCATGGCAGTGACAGTCTTCCTTCACAATAGGAATGCTGGAAGAATGGATGGAAGAATGGTACCTACTGACAGCCCATGTACGAGAGTTAGCAGTAGAAAATTTCTCTTCGAAGTCTTTTTTGGTAATAAGACTTCTAGGGATTGATGGAACCCACCGTTGGAGGAACAGACTCCTCAGCTTTGTTCTTGTTCTTTGAAGAACTAGTGCGCTTTGAAGAAGAAGCCATTGTATAGAAGAAGGAAAAAGTTTTTTGTTTGAAGAGAACTAGAGAAAAGATGGAAAACAAATATGCAAATCGGAAGCTTGGAAAATTATGAAGTGCAAGGGAGAAGGATGATGCGTATAAGTAAAATTTTGGCGGCTAAATTCATGGCCATGATTACCTCAATAATCGGCAAAACATGTGCTGAATCGTGGGATGAAGCATGTTCGGGGCATGAAATGCGGAGACACGTGCGTCTAATCAACTGTCAAAAGTTTCAGAGGGAGTTATAGTAATTCCCGCCAAAAGAATATTTCTACCAACTTCCCGGTAACATAAAGTTATGTCACCAAAAAGCTGCGGGACTATCTGTATAGGGTAAAATATGCTATGACACGTGGTCATCTAAAGGAAGGACACGTAGAACCCCGACGGGGATTAGCAGAGGCCGAACGTAGCTATTCCGCTTGTCACTGGAAGGAATAACGTTCATAAAGCTGTATTAAATGCTCTGCGCCCAGTATGATTTAATAAAGAATATTCTATGGCATTTAGAGCGACGGCCCGTTACAGGGAATTTGACATTTATTTTCACCGTTACATCTTCATCAATGACCCTCATAATTGACATTAAAGGAGGGCACGATCCTAGGACCTCCTTCCCTAGACATAGCTATAAATAGTGAGCTCAGTTATCATTATAAAGACATGAATTTTCTGGCAAACTTACACCACTCTATACAAAGCTTCATACAATCTTACTTTCTCGTTTTTTGATTTCACTATTGTTGTGCCTGGAAACCTTGTTCCCGGAACTGTCACTTCTGCTGTTTTGTCTACATTTTAAGGCTTAGTATTGCATAATTCTTCGATTATCTTATTACTTCAGGATCAAATTATCTAGAAACCACGTATAAATTCAATTGTACCATTTACGGGTAAATAATTTTCTTTTTTAAATTGTCTCACAAAGGATATCATCTTTCTATAATTAAAAATAATTTGACTTTAAAATTCTTATTTTACCTTTAATGAAATAATTTACTCATTCTATTCACTTTTACTTGTCATGTTTTGCTTTTCGAGAGTCAAACTACATAGACTTTGACCATTATTTTAAAATGTATTTTTTCAGCATATTGATATGAGAAAAATTACAAATTATAGTACTTTTCGTATAGTTTCCGAATATCTAATTTTAATTTTAAAACATTAAGAAAATCTGATGCAATTTATCTTCAAAAATCAGTCAAACTGACTTTCGAAAAATGAAACATGACAAATAAAAGTGAACGGAGGAAGTATATTCCTACAAACGTCTACTATATGTTTTGGATTACGAGTTTTAAAAGTTCTCCTTTCTTTCTTAAATTTCATACCTAATCAAATGATGTCACATAAGTGGGACGAATGAAATAATATATATCCCCGTTACCATAAGCAACTCCAAGGTCCACCGTCCCTGGTAACTTTCATCTAAAGTCGTGCATTAAGAAATTGCAGCTATTAGATCATGATTACGGTACTGAGTTTACATTTCTTTGGACAAATCTAATACTGTATTTGCATAATGTATACGTTCATGCGCGAGCTACATACTTTTAGAAACCAAGGCTTCTTATTAAGATACTATTAAATGTCTTATTTAAAGCATTGATCTTTTTGAGATACTTCTAAGTTAACTAGTAGTAGTACTTTATTGAAACTAAAGAACTTGAAAAATTACATCAAGACTTTCTTGGGAAGTGCTTCGAACACATGCAAGCAAGAAGCTAGTGCAGTCATTGCCCACTTGATACACTACCAAGAACCAATCCCTCTATCCAGTCTTTAATCTCCATGCAAGGTTTATGTTTTAACTCATTTATCTTTATATGAAATTTATATCAAATTAAATAATTTAACTCGTTTAAATTAGAATGAGAATACATGTCACTTCACTACAGTACTATTAAGTAAATAGACATTTTTATTTCATATACAAGACATGTCTTTCATTAATTGGTTGAATCTATGTAATTATTAAATATTTTGCGATATATTATTCCTTCATCCTCCATGATAATTTAATTTATGGTGTAGCATACCAATGTTGAATTAGTTATTGGAATTTAAATGAGAGCTAGCTTCTCATTAAAGCTACATATGAAGCCCCTACTGTCACATATTCATGCACCTCATCACCTATATATACCCCCAACACTTCACTCCGTAGCTATCTCATTTCATAATCCAACCCAAAATCTAGTTATTATCTTTAAACGTTTCTCAAATATGGATTCCTTTCAGTATTCCAAAATCCCTTATCCACTTCTTATTCTTGTTTTCCTCAGCTTTATCCGCTTTACTTGTGGCACAAGAAACTTGCTTTCACTCTATCAACCACCTCCAATGGGTCTTACGTACCATAATGGTGCCTTATTAGAAGGAGAGCTAAAAATATCCATTCTTTGGTACGGACAATTCTCACCAGCCCAAAAATCCATTATTGTGGATTTTCTTCAATCTATAAATTCTGTTAATAAAATGGGGTCACTTAAAACACCTACTGTTTCAAAATGGTGGCAAACCATTCAAACCTACTTGACAAAAGCGGGTAAAAAAGAAACCCGACTTGTTTTATCTGATCAGTTCAAAGATGAAAATTGTTCCTTTGGAAAAAACATAAAGAAATCCCAGATATCTGAGTTGGCAAATTTAAACTCAAGAAAAGGTGAATTAACCTTGGTCCTAACAGCCCAAGATGTTATAGTTGAAGGCTTCTGCATGAGCAATTGCGGGTATCACGGGTCGGGTCAAGGCAAAAAATCCGTTTTCATATGGGTGGGTAACTCGGTGACTCAGTGCCCCGGTCAATGTGCGTGGCCTTTTCACCAACCAATTTATGGACCACGGGACAAGCCATTGGGTGCACCAAATGGTGACGTGGGTACGGATGGCATGGTTGTAAATATAGCGAGTCTTTTGGCCGGAGTTGTAACGAACCCCTACGGAAACGGCTACTATCAGGGGCCGGCGGAAGCGCCGCTTGAAGCGGCTTCGGCTTGCGCCGGGCTGTATGGTAGAGGAGCTTATCCAGGTTATGCAGGTGAGCTGCTTGTGGATACGATAAGTGGTGCAAGCTATAATGCGCATGGTACAAACGGAAGAAAGTATTTGTTGCCTGGGCTTTTTGATCCAAATAAATCAGCTTGCTCAACTATTGTCTAGAATAATACACATATACTTCTGCTAGAAGATGGAGCACTTCAAATGTTTACTTTTAGTTTATGTAAATTTTGTTTATACGTAGTTTTAACATTTACTTTGAGGAAAATGTATTTTCGTCCCGTGTATGGTTCTTTAGTTTATATATTTTGTTTGGTCTATCTATGATTCCTTCCATTCACTTTTATTTGTCCACTATTTTAAAAATATATTTTCAATTTTACTTGTTTATTTTAGCAAACTAAGAGAAAGACAAATTTTTTTTTCTTCTTGTTTTACCTTTATTATTAACTATTCAAAAATGGACAACTAAAAACGAACAGAGAGAACAGAGAGAATAGTTGACTTTTCACAATTAGCTAGTACTCTCTCTGTTCTAATTTATATGAACCTGTTTGATTGGGAGAGTTAAAGAAAAAATGAAGACTTTTGGAATTTGTTGTTCTAAACAAGTCAAAAAGGGGTTCAGATTATTTGTGTGGTTATAAAAGCTTCTTATTAAGGATATAATCGGTAGTTTAAGTTAAATTGTTTCCAAATTTATAAATGAGTCAGTCCTTTTGGGACGGACCAAAAAAAAATAGGTTGATGTAAACTTGAAGGGAAGGAGTATTAATTTGTCAGAGTAGTTGAGTTTCACAATTAGCTATTAATTTGTCAAATATAGGGATTTGGTCCAACCTCAATTAAATTGACTATCCCCTAACGCTTCCGTTAAGTGTTACTTCTAATTAAGGGAAATGTTTTAGTCCCATTTTTTTTCTAGAGAAATAGAAGTAATAATACTACATGATAACCTCTTTGAAAAGAACATTCGGGAGTGGAATAATGAGTCGTTATTTTAAGTACAGTTAGACTTTTCTATAACAACATCCATATATAATAACATTTCATTATAAAAGATAAGTTTTTCCGGAACCAATTTTCATGTTATGTTATAATATATGTTCTATATAACATCACTTCGCTATAACATTTAATAATATTCGGAACAAACGAAATTGTTATAGAGAGATTTGTTCTATTTTGTAAAGGACAAAATCTTCCTAGTTTTGATAAACTAATTTCCAATGTATTAAGGTCGAAAAATAGAGGGCTGCTATAATGGCCGAAGATGCAATTTTCTTCTTCAGTCACTCCATATCCCTTTTTAACGCAGTTGGGCCTTTGTTAATTCTGATGATGACGGTTCCGAAATACTATTAAAGATGGACGGGTCCAATATAATGTCATTTTAGTGTGAGATGGTTTTTGATAGGAATTTTTATATTTCTATACCATATAGGAAACCTTATTACCCTCAATGTTTAAGGTTTGATATAATTACATTTAGTATACCAAATTACCAATTCTATACCATAGTGTATTTTAAGGGTACAATGAATGCAACATATATCCTCCTTTATTCAAGGTCTAAAATGGCCATTTTTTTAGTCTGTATCTTTTAAAGAAGGTAGCTCTTTACTCTTTGTCTTTTTTTGAGTAAAAACTCCAAAGAAGAGAAATGGGTTCCATCGTTGCGCGTTTTTTACTGCTTCTTTTGGGGAGCGTTTTTTTGAGCTTTCGATTTTTGAAGGGAGTCGATGGAGCCGTTTCTAGGGGTAAGGTATTTAGGATTTGATGGATCTGATTTCTTTAGGTTTCCTAATTGTGTTTTTATATGTAGAAGGTAGGGTAAAGGGTAATGGGTATTTGGGTACTGGTAGCGGAATTGGGTTGTGAGAACAGAAAATAATGTATCTACAATCAGGATACAAATAATCTACAATTCATCTACAAAATATCTACAAACTGGGTATATTGAATTTTAATATCCCAATTCCCATTCGATTGTAGTTCAATTGGGACTTTTGACATAATTGCGTTTTTTGCAGAAGATTTGTAAAGTTTTAGTCGTTTTTGATTTGTGAAAACAGAAAACAAAGCATCTACAATTAGAATACAAATAATCTACAATGTATCTACAAAATATCTACAAACTGGGTACATTGAATTTTTATATCCCAATTCCCATTCAATTGTAGCATAATTGGGATTTTTGACATAATTGCGTTTTTTCAGAAGATTTGTAGAATTTTAGCCATTTTTTATTTGTTAAAATAGAAAATAAAGCATCTACAATCAGAATACAAATAATCTACAATTTATCTATAATTTATCTACAATTTCCACAATATGTCTTCTTCTCTTCTCTTCTTTCCTTCAGTTTCAATCTGAAATTCAGTCAAAACCAAGTCTAATCTTCACCAAAACCCCTCAAAATTGAGATATAAACTCCAAACCATATTCCCGATTATTTTCAACAACACCCAATCCAAACAAATAATGATTTTTGAAAACCCAAATTTGAATTCAAAGCTTTCAAGCTTTTTAATGGCTGTCAATGGTGGAATTGCTGCTCTCTTTTCATTTGCTTTGTATTACTGAAATTTGCGATTGAGAAATAGAGAGAGATGTAGAGAGAATGTCGACGAACTGAGCTTTTGCAGAACTGATTTCTACAATTTGATTCGAATTTGTTGACGATTTTGTCTTTTTTTGATTTGTGGCTTAAGAAAAAATATCGAAGAACATAGTTTTTGCAGAAAAGAGTCTATGTAATTTGATTTTAAATTGAAGATATAGGATTTGCGTTTCAAATTTGATCTGAAGGTCGCTAAATCAATTAGAATATTCTGTTCCTGATTTGTAGCGCGCCTAATTAGGAAGGAATCGGCTGCTACTAATTAGTATTTAATGAATGGTATAATAATTGTAGAAAAACTATGAACATGGCGGGTAAATATGAAACTATGCACATTTTTGGTAATAAGGTTTCATATATGGTATAGGAAGGAAAAAGTCTCTTTTTGATGACCAAAAATGCATTTTAGGTGGAAATGACATCAAGTAGCCATTTTTAAGTATCTTGTTTAAAATATATTCACAGTTTATAATGCATTTAAAGATTAGCTAATTCGCTCAAATTTAACTTCAAGACACGATGTCCTGAAGTTTAAACCTCAAGGTTCAAACTTCAGGACATCGTATCCAAAAGTTCAAATACAGTGTCCAGAAATTAGAATTTTATGTTCTGAATTTCAAATTAACAGCTCAAAAATTCAGGAGACTTAGTCCTGAATCTCAAATTAACAGCTCAAAAATTTTGGACACTAAGTCTTGAACAAATTAACTTCTCGAAAATTCATGATACTTACTCCTGAAGTTTGGATAAATTGGCTAATCTTTCAAAACATTATAAATTGTAGATATATTTTAAATAACATGCTTAAAAATGATTATTAATGCACTTCCCTGACAATTTGGATAGTACATGATTTGGGAGTTAGGATCCTGCGGGAAAATGGGTATGGCCATAAATGGAGCAAGAATGGTGACGTTAACTTAATAACTCATTTAATATCTTATTCTACAGAATCATATGCCTTTCTGACCATATCCTTTGACAAGCTCATGACCTAAAATGATGTTGTTATTGATAACCCTGCCTAGCACAAATCTTGGTTGACTGTGGTCTCCAAATTATTCATAACTAGTTGCATCCTCTTAGCAATAACCTTAGATATAATTTTGTATAGCATTTTAGTTATTATATAGTTGCATTATTTCTTGATTGGATCTAAAAAGCACTAGAATTGGCGATATTCTTGTATGGGTCAAAATAAGGTCTAGCTTAGTGAATACATACGGACGAGCTGAGGCCGAGGTCGAAACCCTGTATGGTCTAGTGGCGAGGAGTCGCTCGAAGGGAAAGACCCATGCTGAGGTCGTGTAAAGAGCAACGCCTGTAATTGTTAGAATGCTTATGTAATTGTGAATAGGAATATTCTATTAAATATTCCCCCACATTGTACCTTTCTAGGGTTTTATATGGATATCCCTTATAAATAGAAAGAGAGAAGAAATAAAGAAGGGATTCGGAACCTTTGTAAAAAAAAGACATCTTGTAACGAGTTGGCTATCAGAAATATACAAAAAGCTAGTTTTTGCTTCTCTTGTTTGATTCTATCATAACATTCCTCTTTAACTCACAAGATCCAAGAACACATAATCCACTTCACCTGTCGGTTGTCACGTGTTGTAGTCAGGGGAAGGAATCATCTATCTCGTCTAACCTTTGGGTGATAAATTCCTTCTTATTATATTTAATGTCATTTATCACATTTATTGCATGTTTCCATCCTTGTATTGATTGTTAGTCGTAGAGCATTAACTCAGCATCCGTTAACTTAAGCGTGGATTCGTATCGCTTGGGCTGTTTAATTTCGGATCTGGAATTTATTACTTTTGACTTAGATTCACCCCTCATCCCTTTATCTAATTAGTTTAATTAAAAAGAATTCAAAACTTTTTGGCCAAACAATTTGGCGCTGTCTGTGGTCAAGTGGGCCATCGAATTAAGTGAGCATGATATAACATATCAGCCTCGAACGGAGATAAAGTTGCAAGTACTTGCCGACTTCGTCACCGACTTCAGCGCCAAAATATTACCTGAGGCCGAGCAAGAAGCAGCCCATACCACTCCCAAGTTACACGACCTATGGGTCCTATACACCGATGGTGCCTCCAATGCGGCAGGGTTTGGACTGGGACTCGTGCTCGAGGTCCCAACAGGCAAAGTCATTCGCTAATCCATACGGTGTCTCGACACGACTAACAATGAGGTGGAGTATGATGCCGTAATTGCAGGACTGGAACTATCTCTCAAGTATGGAGCACGGTGAGTCATCCTCCGATGCGACTCACAACTCGTCGTCAACCAAGTCACACGGACTTTCCAAATAAAAGAACAAAGGTTACAAGAATATCAGACAGAAATTCATAAGCTACTTCTCGAGTTCGACGAGTGCCAACTCGATCAGGTACCCCGAGCACAAAACATCGAAGCAGATGGCCTTGCCAAATTGGCAGCGGTCACCAAGAACATAAGCGGAAAGAAAACATGGTCACCCTCCTCCGTTCGTCGATAGACCAAATTGAGGTACGCACTATAAACTTGACTTGGGACTGGTGTAACCGCATTATGTCATATTTACAGGACGGGTTGCTCCCACCCGACAAAAAGGAAGCCAAGAAACTCCGAATACAGGCAGCTCGATACAGCATCATCAACCATGAGCTATACAAAAGAACGTTCAGTGGTCCCTTGGCAGAATGCCTAGGGC